AAAGTTAAAGCTAGTTCCATGGTTAGCTTGTAAACAGAATTTTTAATAAAACACTAATTTTGAAAAAATATAAACAAATTAAAAATTATTATAAAAGTTGTATTTTTTAAATAGTTAAGTATATTTTAATGAAAAATAAAATAGATATTTGTGCTAGTTAAAAGCGTAAACTAAACAGTAAACAAAAATAAAACAAACATACAAGAGGAGGTAATTACTACCGGTAAATACCGAAAAAATATCCAGTAAAAACGACGCCGTTCATAAGTAGTTATTTGTATTTTAAACTAAATATTTTAGTGTGTTTTATTTTTTATTTTTAGTAATTTCATTTAATTTAATAAGAGAATAGATAATAAACTCAAAAAAAATATTCATTATTAAGCGTTATTTTTTTTTTTTTTTTTTTCTTTTCGTTAAGACTCGGTTTTAATTTAACATACACATGTCTCCGATGACACCGTTATGATGATAAAATCGCAATTTATTTTGTCTCTAAGTTCGATTGCTCAAATAAATACGAAGTTTTGTAGAAAAATTTTTTTGTGGTAATTTTGACGTTATTTTGCACCTTTCCTCGACTTATTCTTTTTTACAGTTCCAAAATTGACCTACCCTAATATACAGATATATGAAACCCGGATATAAGAGAGTTGTCAGGTCCGGAGAAGAAGTCTCTTATATCCGGGTTTCTTATATCCGGTTTGGTCTATTTTGTTTAGGTAAGTATGGGGAACACTTTGGGACCAGAGAAAATCTCTCTTATATCAGGGTTTCTCTTATATCCGGGTTACATCTGTACATATATATATATATATATATATATATATATATATATATATATATTCGACTCTCCTGTCGAATTCATCGTGAGGGTCAACCAGATTAGTTCAATGAAACCACCAAACGGTGGAGTAATGGATAGGCTTGATTGAGGAATCGGAGTGCCGAGGTCGGTAAATAGCAGGACAGACTGGGTTCTATAGAATTGGATGGCAACTGCTCTAGGAGAGGGACAACTCTGAATTCAAAACCTGCGAAAGTTCGTTTGGGGACCTTGTGGCACGGAGGTCTCTGTATCGGGCCCTTCAAAAAGTGTGGATGGTCCTGTACGAAAAACCTTTACCACTATATATATATATATATATATATATATATATATATATATATATATATATATGAAAGAGATGAGTGTGTATGACGAAATATTTTCCTTATGTACACATATGTACTTTTGTGATTATGACTTTTAATCCTGTGTTTATAAATACCCACCAGAACAAATTAAGCAAAGCAAAAACTCGTTTCCATCGAAGCGAACGGTGGATTCGTTAAGGAAGTGATGTTCGACTCGTAATTCCTGATGACGTGCTGGACTTTGCTTCAGGATATCGTTGTCACCGTCAATTATGTCGGGTACATTCACTGTATTTATTAAAAGAAAACAGTAAATCCATAACTTCATGTTATTTAAAATATATAACAAATAAATTAATACCAAAGAAAAAATTTAATTTAAATACTAATTTGCATTAAAAAAAACAGACATCCTTTCCTCTCTCAGACGCTGAATTGCGTCACGTGACGTTCTCCAAAACTTTGTTTAACTTGATGAATATTTATGAGCGTTCTTATATCCGAATATACAAATATATTCGTCGCAAGATCTATATAAGTGAGTAATGGGTCACTTCGACATGGTGTAATGGTTAACAAGCTTGTCTCGCTTGTTACGACATAGTAATGAGTTCGATCCTCACCGGGTGCCTATACTTTCGGCCTCGTGCCACATCTATGCTTAAAATATCACCGAGTTTTTGGGCACTTCGAGACGGCGTAATGTTTAGCAAACTTGTCTCGCTAGAACAATTACGGCAGAGTAGTGAGTTCGATCCTCACCAGGTGCCCCCTACTTTCAGCTTTGTGCGATATCTAAGCTTAGGAAAACATTTGGGGCACCTCGAGACAGTGTAATGGTTAGCAATCTTGTCTCGCGAGAACAATTGCGACAGAGTATCGAGTTCGATCCTCACTTGATGCCTCTTACTTTCGGCTTTGTGCCATATCTAAGCTATGTTTAGAAAATCATTTTGAGCACCTTGAGGCGGTGTAATGATTAGCAAGCTTGTTTTGCTAGAAATATGACTGTGTAGTGAGTTCGATCCTCACTAAGTGCCCCCTACTTTAGGCCTTGCGCCACATCTAAGCTACGCTTGGAAAATCACAAGTGGATAATGTGGTCAACATCTACAGTCGATTTTATGTTTGATCGCAATTTTGCAGCCTTTCACCACTCTGTGTTGATGAAATTGTTAACAAATAATAAAAAAGAAGCTGTAAATGAGAAGCAATTATAGATTTTTTTCTTTCGAAATTAACTCTTTGAGCCATGACCACCGCTTTACTGCTGGTGGAGAAAATGACTTAAGGCCCAGCCACGGGTTGAACAGTGGGTAAACACTTGCGTCGTGTTTGCTATTGGTTGTCCTATTTTGAAGAG